TTGAATCGAATTTTAATCGACTTTTTACTGATTAAAAATCGATTTAAATCATACACCTTTAATCGATTTTGCACCGAATATGGAGTGATTACAAAGGAAATATAATCAGAATTTTTTGATTATAATCGATTTTTCATGATTTTAATCATTTTTTAATCAAAAAAAATTGATTAAAGGTGTATGATTTAAATCGATTCTTAATCAATATTTAACCGATTATAATCTGATTTTTCCCCTATTTTTTTTACATGGGTATCAAAATGCTAAAGAAATATGATAGAAATCCTAGTTGAAATTATATCGAAACACAGGAAAATTTTGTAAGGTATAGAATAGAAATGCTCACAGATATTCTAATCAAATACCATAAAATTCTATCGGAATATAAGAAAAATCTTGGTTGAAATCCTATGGAAATATAGGATAAATCGAATCGAAATACAAGAGAAATCTTAGTCGAAATCATAAACTGGATTTTATTGTCTTGGATAGATTGTGGGCTCCGACGCTTTCCGGTTCTTTACGTTGTCGTTTCCGGTCATTTCCGGCTCTTTACGTTGTTTTTCCGATCATTTCCGATTAAATACGATTATGATTCCGTGATCAACCGGGTGGATACTGCGGGACGCCCTTTTCTTTCCCGCAGCTAGAATGTTTTGGATGTAGCTGCTTCATGTTTCGGTAAATTCCGGTGGGAATACTGCTTCCGTTTCCCATGTATACTTCCTGCCTGTTCCGTGCTGATCCTTGCCGGAATTGATCGGAAGTCGCTGGAATTACCCTAGTTTCCTCGAAGTTACGGCAGGATCCCATTGCGGGAAGCATTGACTTGGGCAAGATGGTGAAAAATATTCCAGAAGAAGACTATAAAAAAACTTTTGACAAACCGTTAGAAAGGATGAAACTATGTCTAAATAATCATGGAAACTATTTTGAACATTTAATAAAATAAAATTCGAACTTTCTCTTTTTCTTTTCTTTTATTTTTTGAATTGCAAAACCTTTGGTCGCACCTAAGTACGACAACTGTATTAACAATCCTTTCTTCTTTCTTTCCTGATTTTCAACTTTTAAAGTATCAAATTAAAAGATATTCCACTTTGACCAATAGTTCTCCAAGCCTTCGCATTCTTTGCAAAGGATCATAAAACGATCATAAATTCGGCCACTTTGTTCTGGTGTCATCATGGATTTCCAATCGTTTATTTTTCCCTTACGTACGAATTTCACTTCTGAAAGTTTCGCGAATGCTTCATGTCGTTTTGCAGCTTCTATTTTATCTTCCATTTTCTTAATACTGTTTTCTGTGAATATTCGTCGTTCAACATCAAATTTATCTTTCATATAATCGAATGATGAATGTTTCATTACTTTCCCTAGTAATTCATCGTTCAAGGTGATATTGATGAAACTGGCAACCTAAAAGAGAATAAATATGAATAAAATAAATGGTGCTCATCTCTATATTTCAACCAAACTCAGAAATGATTTTTTGGTGAGAGGATCTCGACTCTTTATCAGTTATCTTGTTAGATCGATGATCAAGCTTTATGGGAATGATGAACAAAGATAGTGTAATTACTTTCTGTGAGCTAAAATAAGTCATTATTAGATCCATCTAAAACGAACCTTGTATATCACACCTCGAAAGTCAGCTTGCATCTCCTCGTAAGATACAAGTAAAACATTGTTACCATTGCGTCGCTGCCACACGGATCGAAGTACTTCAAAGTAATCGTTCCATGGCAAACGTCCCTCAATAAAATATTCAAAGAATTGATCGAATTCGGGTATAGGTACTCTACTATACGTATTGTAGAATTTATAGTACGATATGCACACATCTTTCGGATTTCTTATTACACAGATATATTTGGCTAGTGGATGGTATGGCACTCGATCCATTGGTAAATGAGTTTTAATTGCGGCTGGTCGCTGCATTATTTCTATACTAGTTTCACCATCAATCTCTAGATGTGGGTTTTGCCTAAAAAAGTGATCTCTATTCGTATCAAAAGGTTGCCCATTCGTCTGAAGATTATACACAATGTTTTGCATCCATGTTGTTCCACTTTTCGGATAAGTTACTATGAAAATGTCATCTGGTCTGGCTTGATAAGACAGAGCGAAACGAAGATTTTCTAAGCTCCATCCAGGTACCCATCGTATACCATCGATCAATGGAAGTGGTTCTCTTCCTTCATTTTTATTCGAATCTAGAGAAAATGAATAAAATATCTTAAATGACGCATAGACTTTATGCAATCATTCAGTGTACCTGATGTAAATTGCTGTTCCATTCGTTACAGGAAATCAAACACTCTCGTACTGGAAATGTCTTGACACTTCCTAGATCTAAAACTAAAGTGAAGGAAAAAACTTTAGGCATCTGTATTTTTACAGTTTCTATAGTTCAGATCAATAATATTCGATGTAAACCATTATTGACAAATTGTAAGAAGTCTTAATTGTTTTGTTGGTATAAGTGGAACTTACGAGTCCTTTCTTTGAGATAAAGTATCTCAGTGAGTTGAAGATGGGTTAGACATTTGAAGAAGTCAGCCCAGGTCAACACTTACGACGATCGTATACGACAGTAAAAGACCGTATACGTTGACGAAAACGACCGTAAACGACTTACTTACGACTGTTTACGACGAGTTACGGAACCGTTTGGTATCCGCAGTATTACGGTCGTATATCATCGTGGTCGTATATCATCGTGGTCGTAAACGACGGTATACGATCATCGCTTACGGCGGAGTACACCCCGATGAAATCCCAAAGAAATCTCTAAGAAATCCTCAGAAAGCTTTAGGAATACCCAAGAAATCTGTAGGAAATATCTGAGAATTCCGAAGAAATCTTTAGAAAATCTTTGAGAAATCTCTAAAAAATCTCCGAGAAATCCCAAGAAATCTCTGAAAAATCCCAAAAACTTTTTAGGAAATCTCTGAGAAATGACATCGAATCCAAGTGAAATCTAGCAGAATTATGATGAGATCCAAGTGTAATGTATTTAACATCTGTTGAATTTCTTGAGAGGTCTATGAGAAACATAGAATAAATGTAAAGAAAATTTATGAAATCCAACTGAAAGTTTTCAGTAATGTGTTGCGAGTCGAGAGAAATTTATGCAAAATCTTATCAAGTTGGTAAGAAATCTTCTTTAAAATAGTTCCCTGGTTGCCGCAGAAATAACGTCACAAGCTCAATAACTCAAAATGGTATCCTAAAATTGCAATAGACCCTTATGAGTGTCTTTATGTATGTAATAAAAGTTATGTTCACGTAAAAAAAAGCTCGTTACTAGACCGCTCCGTGACGAACTATCTCAAATAAGAAAGATAATACAGAGAAACTTACCAAATGAAAACAATTAAATTGCATGCTTGATAAGCTGAGACTTCATAACACATTAAATTTTGTTCGGTTCTCTTAGAAACCTATTCTTTAATAAGCACAGAATAGAAATCATTAAACCGTGAATTTAAAGGAAACATTTCGCATTAAAAATCATGTTATTTGTAACACTTTTAAAACAAGCTTTCTTTTTATCAATTACTTTAATTTTGAAATTTCTACAGATTTTTTATTTGGGACGGGAGGGGGTGGGTCCGCTACACAAGAATTTATAATAAACCTACTCACGTACGAAAGATAAAATAAGATATAAAATTAGTAATCCAATAATTCAATCTAAATGATAATAGAAATGAAAAAGAAATAAGGGTATATATGTAGATAAACTAGCAAAACAAAACGGTGAATGATTAGTGGACAAAAATCCCTTGTTTAAGATTTCAAATTTCAACTGGATTTCTCAAGATTTTTCTAGGATTTTGATGGAATTTTCAAGAATTTTCTTCGATGGAGACCAACTTTTTTTTTTAGACATTCTCTTCGTTTTCTAATATTTTTTAAACAATTTCATAAGATTTCTCAAAGATTTCAGTTGGATTTTTCATGATTTCTTAAGATTTCGATGGATTTTTCAAGATTTGTTTTCGATGCAGACCTACTTTTTTTTTCCAGATATTCCCTGCGTTTTCTAATATTTTTTAAAGAAATTTCTAGGAGTTCTCGAAGATTTCTTCAGATTTTTATATAATTTTGTTTATATTTTGTCGGGCTGACGAATGATTTAATTGTATGGTGGAAATTCAGTGTCGATTTTGGTTGATTTTGGAGAAATTGTTAATGATGTCATATTAACATCAGTGGTTTCAAGTATTTTGCTATTGACTTTGATTTGGGAAAGGAATTGGTTAGCGTCTTAGGTTTTTACGATAGTATTCGATCGTCGTATACGATGCCGGTTTTTTTACGATGGTCGTATACGGTGATTTTTTACGGATGTCATTTACGGTGGTCGTATATTATCGTAAAGCGGCGTATACGATCACCGTAAACGGATGCCGTATACTGTTGTTGTGTTTTGTCGTAAAATGCCGTTTACGATCGTTTACGACCGGGGGAGTTTGACCTGGGAGGTATATCTTGACAATGTTGGACAAATTGCGGAGAATTTTCAATCGTAAACCTAGGACAACATCGTGATGAAGGTATCCACAGATGTTGATTTTGATTGATTATAACTATCAATTCATCAAGGATACCCTCGTAGTCAATCATTCTGATTTTATGTTGCAAAAATTGCATAGTAAAATGACATATCAACTAAAATATGAATATCATGACAGGCGTCATTCTCACGAGAGCACCTTCCCAAGCGTCACCTTCCGTTTGAGCCAAGGAAAAAAAGCGGAGTCTCTCTATTCAGGATACGGTCACAATCCAAAGGATCCACGGGATACGGCGACGATACCGAGGATACAGTGTCAATCCAGAGGATACGACTACAACCCGAAGGATATATGCAAAGATGGATCCTCTGTATCATCATTATATCCCATGGATCCTCTAGATCTTAATTGTATCCCGTGGATCCTCTAGATTGTGACCGTATCCCGAATGGATAGAATCCACTTTTCCCCCCTTGCAGTATACACATATCATATATACATTGTGTGAGATGTTTGAATTAGTTCGTAATTCATTTCCGACCTGAACTGTTCAATCAGTATAGTGAAGATATTATATATACTCAACAAATATATTGTCTGTACCGCACCAACATATAACATTATCTTATTTTTATGTCACACCAATGTCTATTCGCGATCAAGAATTGTAAGAAATATAAATGGAATTTACCACTCGATGATATGATGACGAGAAGAAATATGTTTTGTGAGTTATCTTTGAAAAAAGGTAAGAATATAACTGGCTATACATAGGTAAAGCACGAATATTTATATTATGAAGCACTCGAGCAAATCAGTTCTCATTTTAGTCACTTTTTTCTCGCTCTCCTGTATCATTATGATTGGTGTATTAAGGATTATATGATCGGCCAATTGAAGAACAGTTTATGTTTAGTACTATCAAGTCGGCTTTTTCACATAACACCATACTTCGCTGATTAAATTTTGAAAATTTTGTTTTCGTGTTCAACAGACTTGAGCAAGCTATTAGACGCAGTTTTGAAGGCTGATTACGAATCTGACATTTGCTTTCTAAAAATAACAGATTTTTTCATCGAAAGTTGGGTTTCAAATTTGTCAAAAATCGTATTTCGAGGGAGGGTGCGGGTGGATTTGGGTGGCTGAACGTGCGTGTGGGTAATAACAAAACGCCCACTAGGGAGCCGCGGGACCGGGTTTTTTTGTCCCTATCCCGATTTGGTCCCGCTTAGATGAAACCCGTCCCGGTCCCGATCCCTGTCAAATACTCTTTCGGGATCCCGATCCCGGTCCCGTTTAAACCCGATTTTTTTTTGATCTACAATAAACAGTTTTTAAACACATATGTGGAATAAGATGCAACTCGATAGCATTTCACAGTATTACGATTTGTTGATGGAAAGCTGACGTTGAAGCGTATATTATAGTATTCTGAGTTCTTCCAGTCAGATGCTATATCAAACTAACTGATCAGGCCGAAAAGAGAGCGCATATTTGAGACAGATAAAACATTTCATTACATTAAAAGTGAAACGAGAAAGATCGAAGACAAGTTCAATAAGGGCAAATCTATATGATTAAAGACAGGAACGAAAGTCAATTGATGAATATAAGTCGAGCGACGAACATGAAGGTGAACAGCAGACAACTTCAATATCGAAGAAGTATCGAACTGGAAATAATAACACCATACTAAGTGAAGATAAACTCAAAGAGTGATCAAAACATGTTGTTTCATCAACCTCACTTATTCATTTATCTTTCAAACATCGTTTTTCATGACATGTGTACACGTGTATGTTAGTTTTATTTTTACGAAAGATTATATTGAATTTTTAAATAAAAAAGAATTACATTTCGATAAGATATAATTAGCTAAGTCCCGAAAAGTTGTAACCCGTCCCGATCCCGATCCCGTTGAAGAAGCGGTCGGGATTTTCAGTCCCGGTCCCGTGACGTCATCAGTCCCGATCCCGACCCCGATCCCGACGGGATTGGGACCGGGTTCGGGAAAAAAATAGGCATCGAGACAGTCCCGCCGCTCCCTAACGCCCATATCCACCCTCAAGATGGCGTCTAATAATTTGCTCAAATCTGTTGAACACGAAAACAAAATTTTCAAAATTTAATCAGCGAAATATCGCGTAATATAAACAAGCCGATTCGATGATAGGGTGTGGAACAATAGTTGAAGGAGTTACATCACCAATTAATTTCGTATTTAATAGTCCGAATAGTGTAATACTTGATGCGGGGTGTGGGTGTGGGTGTGAGTTTGAGCGGGTGGGTGTGGGTGTGAGTTTGGGCGGGTGGGTATGGGTGGGTGTGGGTGTAGGTGGGTGTGGGTGTGGGTGGGGGTGTGGGTATAGGTGGGTGTGGGTGTAGGTGGGTGTGGGTGGGTGTGAGTTTAGGCGGGTGGGTGTGGATGTGGGTGTGGGTATGTGTGTGGGTGTGGGTTTGGGTGTGGGTGTGGGTGTGGGTGGGTGTGAGTGTGCATTACTCATCTCTATATGCACGCCCTCCGAGACTTATGCCTATACCCACAGCTACATCTACGCCTACGCCCACGCCCACATCCACACCCACACCCACATCCTCAATATAGGGACTTCTGCAAAACAAAATGATGAATGTAATCTGGCCTAATTATGAATTACTGGATTACGATAATTTTTCTTTTCAGTTTTCATTTTAAAAGGACCACGTATATATATATAGGCGAACCTGAACAAAGAGAAACGGTGAAGGGTATTCTAGCATAATTTGGTTTGCTC